ACTTAAATTGATTATATGTATATATATATATATATTACAATGTAAAGGATTTTGAATTTATTTATTTAAATATAACAAAGAGAGTTTGTTTTGACTTAGAGATATATTAAAGTCAACTTTTATTTATAAGATTCATATACAATCCGCTTCATGTAAAATGCAGCAAGTATCTTAGAAAGTATCCACGCAATATATCCACAACACGTTCTCGTCTCCTATTTTCCGTTTATTTCCCAACTATCAATCACGCTGTCATTTTATATCTCCTTCGGTATTCAGATAGATATAATTGCGGATCGATAGACCGAGTAGATTGTTATCCACGACGCGTAGTATGTCATGAATCATGCGTATAAGCAGGGAGGAAAAAAAAGAGACGAGAGGGATGTATGTATCTCGTACATATATTGCATACCTGTTTTTCTCTCAGAAGAAAAGCGTCGATCTTTCCTGTCCTCTGATTTTCCCGTCGCACGTCGGGGCCGATTATTGGAGAACGTGAGCTTCGTTAGCCGAGCTGGTTACGTCGGAGCACTAATGATAACAGTTGTTCCTTACCCGGCGACAGTCGGCGTCGTACTGAAACGTGCACGCCACGCACGATCGTTTTTCCCGCGGAAGCTTCGTATCCGAAGGTCGCGCGATGAATGGCAATTTCACAAAGCAATTTCAGCCGTGAGATATCAGTCCCTTCGATGCAACCGTCATGGTGCAATAAGATTGCGTTTGCGATACGACTTTCCTGCAATTACAAATGTCCTGCAGTTTGACAGATGTTAAATGTCGCCTAGATCTCTAAAGATAAAAACGTATAGATGAAAAGACGATTACTACGACGATTTTTATAAGAATTATGTATACTCACTGATGTGTATTGCATGGATTTAATCACGGATTTAATACATTTATCAGTGCACGTACACTGTATATCAAAGATGCAATGGAAACCCAATCTCTTAAGATAAATAATATTTTGCTATTTTTAACTTTCATGTGTGTCCAAATATAAATCAATTCATTTCTGTGATTAATTTCAAAGCAAACAACGTTCACATCAACGTACTTATGCACTTAGCAAATAATAAAATAAATTTGAGTTAAAAATAACATTTGCTTGAGTTAAATAATTAAATTGTACAACTCCATTGTGTTAGTTAAATTAACGACGTATTGAGTAGGAACGGTGGCGACCTTAGAAATGATTAAAAGTAACTCAAATTGAATATAATTAGGGTTGCGAATTTGATGAATAATGAACTCAGTAAATGAAACTAAAAGCGTATGTAAGCAAATGAACGATTATATAAGCATCGATAGTTTATAACAAATTGGCTTCCGCCTGACAGTCACTAATGATAGGAAAAGATTTCAAAATAATGTTTACTGACTAAATGACTGATTAACTGGACGGTAAGAAAAGACGTTTTTACGATTAAAATATGATTTTACGTTGTTCAAAGAGTTAATATATGTTATTATCTAGATTCGATGCCGAGATTTTGAGATGATTAATACAGCAAAAAAAAAAAAGAACAAGAATTATGACGCACCTTCTGCTAACAATAAGTCTACGAGTCACGTTTCTGCTAAGTTACGTCGTCACGTAGTGAATATCTTTCATAGATTATATTTCATAGATTGTAAGCATGGTCCGTTCTAATATATCGATCCACGTTACTTGTACGACATCAATCAATAAAAAAGATAGCTAGGGCATGGTATAAAGTTAAATCGCATTATCCTTAATACACCCTACTTTTTTTCTTGTAACTACAAAGAAAAAGCTCATCGCTTGCGTTACAACTTTTCGACTCTCGCGATATCGAACATCCTGGTGATTAGCTCCGAAATTGATATCCTCTTAAAGTGAAACTGATATTCTTGTTTACTTTCAAGAATATCCTGCATCCAACATCGAAACTGATATCCTTTTTTAGAATTCTAATCGCAAATTAATTCAAAAGCAATCTCGCAAATTACACGCCAAAAAATATTGGAGATTATTTACTTTGAACATGCGATAAAAAAATGTGTGATAAAAAAAGCGATTCTCTGATATGTCACAACATTAGGCAATAAAATAATATTTTGCACAAGATAAGGGCTCGCGCTTGTTTTTATCAAACATATCCATGTGAAGAGATACAGAGCATGAATAAAGCTAATTTTTTTTTTAATTAACAGAACTGAAGAGAATATTTGAAGAGAACTGAAAAATTTTATTCTATAACAACAGAACTAAATAGCATTAAATATGAAATATACACATGTATGTATACATACGTACATAAATAAAAAAAGATTAATTAATTTGCTAAAGAGATAAGAAACTTTCATATAACAGTTATATGATAACATATAATTTACGTGATCAAGATATAAACTACTAATAAATTATTCAGACGAAAAAATGACGTTTTATGATATTAATAATATCGATTTCAAAGAGATTACAGCAAATTTAATGAAATTGCTCGTCCGTTTGTGTAAACCGGACGAGTGACCGAATATCGTCATCGCGTTATCTTTTCAAACAAACATATCTAATTGCAAGATCAAGTAAGATAGCTAAGTGCTAGAAATTGATAACGGGATTAATAAATTATTATGAAATGGAGAAAGACGTAGAAAGTATACGATTATCACTGCGATTACAGCGAATATTTCTGCATGACGTAATGCGAATGGAAATGTACTTTAAAGTAGTAATAAATAATGTCTGTTTAATGCGGAGCAAGGTTGCGATATAACATTCTTTAATTATTCGCCATCGATAGCTAAGCATTTAAACTGCAATGTTACAACGCCATATTTCTCGTGTCACAAAATAAATACCATATCTACCATTAATATCGCCTATTAATTATTAAACAACCGGCCGGCAGACTTAAATTACTTTGAATACTACATCTTCCTGAATTAATTGAAATAATTCGCGGCACATGGCGAATATTGCAAATAAGTGGTTTCTGTCGTAAAAGTTTATAAAAGGATAGATATTTTCTATACGCGAAACTCTAAATAGAAATGAATGAATAATTCAATTTTTCTCATGTTATGCATATAATCTCCGATACATTAAATACTAAATTTAATCATCGATTTATCAGCTCAAATAAGCTTCCTTTTTAAGCTATTTATGGTGTTTTATTCCATGGATAACTACGCGGTAAACGTGAGATATAATTTATTTTTACATATAACATGTAAATAACGCTTGTGTGAGTGCAAAGCTGTTTGCGTGTCATAACGAATGAATTATTTCCAGACGAAAAATGACGTAACATTGAGAATCTTCATGGAAGAAGCATCTGTGCTCCGAAATTAGAATCGCGTATGAATATGCGCGTGCGTATATTCAAACGTGTAGTAAAACATATATACATAAGTATATATAAAATATATATAACATATTATATTAAAATATATAATATATTAATTATACATATATACACTGGAAAGATGGAATAAATTTTAATAAATATTTGAATAGTACTAATTTAACATTTACTAAAAAAAATAATAGTTAACTAAAAAATTAATAATTTCTGTAATCCACATAAATATATGTATACATTTAATAAATATTCAGCTAATATTATTCAAATAAATATTTATTAAACTTTAGTACACTTTTGTAT